AATATATATATATCTATATATGTCTAAATATATTATTGCATGCCCTTGTACAAAGGGGAGTGGAAAGCTGACATATAAGGCCAAGTGGGTGAGAAGCATATGGCACCCTTGACTGAACAAGTTGAAGTCAGCTATTTGACAAATCTGTACGTATCTGGGTCATATATCTGAAATCACCATTTAAAGAATTCTTCAGTATGTCAATGCAGCAAAAGCTTTTTGGGATTTTTCTAAAAAGCCTCAAGCTGGAGTGTCTGCAGCACTGGAGGCACTTACTGAGACACATTTGTGGGAAAACAGTACAAAAGACACACAGGAGGTGATATTTGATGAGTGCAGCAGATACTTCAAATACAGCATGTCTCGAATTAGACTTCAGATGGGCAATCAGATTATTGTAGCATAAAACTTTTCCACACTTCAGCAGGGCCATAATGACTATTTGTGGGTGTGTCTGTAGTCCTTAGAAAATTACGGTGCAGGGACAAACAACATCCTCATCTAGATGGTGGATGAAGGTGTGCAGCTGTTGAATGTGATATGGTTTTGTGTGTGCAGCCAGGCAGGTAAATGAAGAGGCTAAAGCATCGTTAAATCCATGCCTGACTTAGCTCAGGCAGCAGGCTAAACTACTTCTTATTTCTTTACGGTTGGTCTTGGCTGAAAGCAGGCATGAGGACAGCTGCTGTCACTCAGTTAATGTACAGTTAACCTATTCGTCCAAATAGACATCACATGAACTTAGAGAACTGGTCCTACCACCTAAACCCACAGCATACATGTTACATAGTCACTTCCTTTGCAAGTTAGAATTAGAAATCAAGAAATATACTTTTGAGTCCTCTAGTCCAGAGATGCAGACCCACATACACAGAATGAGAGGGTCCATTCTGGCAGTGTCTGGACTCTGGCAGAGGGTCTGTCCTTAAGGAACACTTTACTGACAGCCTTAGGGCTCACCACAAACAAAAAGAAATAACAGTATTGTGTTCAGCAAAATGAGTCCTACAGCAGGTTCTTGGCAAATGGCTTGGCAGAAGATTTACAGCTAAATATCGAGAACTGAGAAAAAGGTTAAGATCTAAATTTAAGTCATGTTCCTCTCTTCCTCTAATAATATTTTTCAGACTAGTGGACTCACAACTAATTTTGATGCTGAAGTGACTTCAGAACATTCGCTGTGCCCATTTCAAATGTTTTTCTATTTGCTCTGCTGCTCTTAGTGATGAAAGAAAAGATTTTTTTCATCATCATCCTAAATCCCTTTAGCTTCGTATTTGGAAAAGATTATAGATTTCATTAAAAAATCCTCTTTGGAGGGGCATTTCTTATTCTGAGTACAAGGTTATGATTTTACACATGGAAAGTTTTTCCTAATTGTTTCACATTTAACACTCTTCATGCTTAAGAGTGTTAAATGTGAAACACTCATTTTTACCTCAAATGAGTTGCAAGTGGCTTCATTCCAAAATGGCACGTTTGCTATTAGTCAGCTCTGTTTCTTAAATAACTTAGTTTTCATAAAACAAGAGAACATCTGTTAGGACTTTTTGTTTTATAGCAAGCTTGCCTATCTACTTTACTTCTCACAAAACAGAGGGTGATGACAGATAGCAGGGCACAGAATGGATAGAGGTAGATTGAAATTCCAAGTATTCCTACTGGAATTCACTATATATTTGATAGTGATCAGTGATTGGAGTAGAAAGTAAAACTTACAGGAATTGGCCATTATATCTACATAAATATACGTAAGTATAGGTGAAAACCAGTCTAAATTACAACATGCATCACAAACTACCAGCTTCTGATTTTAACAGTACTGGCCAATGCTGCCAAGAGTTTGGGTAGAAACTGTAAAGCAAAGATGCATAGCTGAATTTCTAATTGCTCTCTGTGGGAAACACTCATTGCCTGAGATTTCTTTGAAGTAATCCTTTGTGGTGCAATCCTTTATCCCATCCATAGCATTTTTCATTCACTGATCTCCCTAGGCTTTGTAAATGAAAGAAATTGTTATTATCCCATCATAGCAGGGATGAGGTTAAGTGGCCTCTTCCAAAGCTTGAGGAAAATGGCAAAGGAGGATGAAAAGCACAAGGATTTTACATCAGTGATGATCTTGGTTCTGAGCTTTGAAGTCTACAGTATTGCCAACTTCTTGGCTAGAGGGTCCCAGTGTTCAGGAAGTCGGAAGGCATGAGGCTGAGTGGCTCCACTGCCCTGGCACTGGGATGAGCTGCACCTGATCAAGACAATGCATGCAAGTGCTCTTCCTTGGCCTTTCCTTGCTACCACCATGTCTGGATTGGAGGTAACATTCATGAGTGCTGCAGTGCAAGGCAGAGGACACAACCGTCCATGTGCAGTGACCCATCTCCTCTTAGAACTCAAGGGGCGTAGTAATGGCATGCAGAGAAACTGAAGCTGTTTCTACGCCATGCCTTTGATATGTGGCTCAGAACTCTTTGTTTTTGGAGCTGTGTCTGCAGTACACTGTACTTCAACTAATTCCATAACATAAATGTTGGAAAAGCTTTTTAACTTGGAAGCATTGGTGTGCAAATGTGGCTGTGCCAGTTCCAGACTTTCACTGCTAACGAAGTCTTCCCATGCTGCTTGCTTTTTAAAAACTTTCCTGATTAGGCCTTGAAAAATTTCTTCTGTAGATATATGCTAAATATGTCATACCCACACGGTACAATGACAGCACTGAACAATCAGAGTCTAATATACTGTTAGTAACTTCCTCACTTAGTTGTCTGCAGCATGGAGTCTAACATCTAATTAGTGCAAAACCCACCAGTCTTGTTAAACTGTCTTCAACCCCTATTGCTAATATCACTTCAGCAGGTATTAGCCATGGTGGGATATTATATTTACAACTGTGTATTCATTACTAAATTTAAAATTCCTACAAAATCAGAGTGGCAACTTCTTACAGAAGTTCCTCATATCTGTACAGGATAACCTGTTCATTTGAGGAAAGGTGATGTCATCCATTCTACATTGCATGTTAAAAGATGAGGGGATTCAGGTTGTAGTAACTTCATCTGATCATAATGCTATTCAGGATTTATAAATTCAAGAGGGCCTTGTGCTCGTTAAAGGGACACAAAACCTCAAATTAGCAGTAGGTTTAAACTGCGTTTGCAGTAAGAGGTAAAAAACTGGCTATTCACGTGCCCTTATTCCAGACTTGGAGTTGGTTCAGCATCGCCCATTGCTGACTGATTTCTATTGGCTTCACGGAATGATTTTTACAGTGCACACATGATTAAATGTGTGTTAAAAAGCAGGCAGAAACAATGACACTGAACAACAGAAATTACTTCTGCTCATAGCAGAAGAATATGAAAGCCAGGAATAGAGGGACTGTACTATAGTCTAAACCAACGTGACTGACCCATGCTTACTTAGAATGAATGAATAAGTATAAATCTGACTTTCCAAGTATTTTTGTAATATTGCTCTAGAAAAACTTGGAAGTTTATCAACATCATGGGCATTTCATGACAGGTGCAGGCTCAGGCTGAAAGCTCAAATATTTCTTAGCCAAATGTTTCTTAAGGAAAAAATCCTTCCATCAAAAAAGCCTGTAGCTGCCAACAGGCTACTGAAGATATATATGAAAGACAGGGACTGGGAATTATGGGGGAGCACAAGTTTTCTAATGAGAAAGTTCTCCATTCTAGAATCTTCTTTAATTTTGAAATGCTCCAGTTAGAATAAAAAAAGAACATAATGTTTTCCTTTCTCATCTACATTTTAGTAAATATAGAGTAATAAATGTAAACCAGTTTAAAATACATTTAATTTCCTTCCTAAAATCACCAAGTGTAGTAAAATATATTTTTCTTGTTTATCATCAGAGGGCCCTATGCTTAATTGATACTACAGTGTATGAAGAATGTAGGATTAAGCACTAGTTACAGAAAATCACAGTGCTGTTGTGAGCTTATTTTGTTAACCCACACTGTTGTTTCTCTGTGGTTACTTGTAGCAACTGTATAGACAGATATAATCATGGCATGATTATTCCTTACCAGCTCATTGCTGCCATCCTCATCAAAATCCTCCTCTATCCCATCAGTCATATCTTCTCCATCCCCATCTGCATCTGGCCCTCCTTCAATTGGCTCTTCCGTAGAATTATCTGCATTCTCTGATATGCATTCCTCTTGAATCAAATCAGCATTATCTTCCATTTGTTTCTTTTGAGCTTCTGTAAGGAAAACATACTCTATAGAGATTCAGTAACCTTTCCTATTGGTGGCAAAGAAAAGTGCTCTGAGGAAGAAACCTAAGCTTCCCCTCTCCGGATGTGCTAGCTTTGTAAAATTCAGTGTGTTAATATCTAGCAGGCCAATATGATCAAACGCCTTGTTTTAAAAAAAAAAGCATAAGTCAATCTAATACAAACATGCTCATCTGTCCCATACAGTAGATGAAGGTGTGATTTTCCAGTGGATCCAGCTTTTTGATTTTCTGGACTTTGCCTTGAGAATTCAATAGGCATAATCACTATATATTTATTTATTTGCAGCCAGTGAGAAGTACATAAATCTCTATGCTCTGAGAAGTGGAAGGCTGTTAATTGCCAGTGAGTGAACAAAGATGTGCATAAATTTGTTGTGAATATATCTCAACAACGATACAAATCAAATCATTCTAGACAACAGAACATGTTTTTTGTATTTTACATATGGAGTAAAGTAGCTGTTTCTCCTCACTGGTATAATGTGCTGAGGTAAATGGAGAATGCCCCTTCCAACTACCCAACTTTAGGCTTCCTATAATTTCTGCAAGGTGCTGAAAAGGAAGAACATTTCCATGGAGGTCCAGAGGATCTGTTCCACTTGGCTTAGTGCAGATAGCTGCATTGTTGTGAATATGTATTGTAAGACTCCTGGATATGCTGAGGAATTTCATCCAGCCAGCAGAAATCCAGAGGAGGACTGAGGGAGGAGTGACAGAGACAGAGTGGCCAGAAGAATGGTTTGAGGGATCAGTCTCATTCCTATGCGCATCAGGAGTTAGACGAAGAGCTTTATACACTCAAAGTGAATACGGGCTAGAGAGTTGGTTGCATGTAGCTAGAATACCAATGTCTTTTCAGTCTGAGGGTGACAATACCCATCAATAATCAAATTTCTAGAACAAAACCATTTATTTCTTTGTCAGATTAACTGTTCTATAATGCTGGTAGTACATCACCTATCTTGTTGGACACCCAATGAATCTGCAGATTGCCTGTGAAGCTCTATATTTTTCAGCTCTATGAATATATTATTATTTTACTATGAATTATTACCAACTGCATATAATATTCAAATCTGCTCATACTTTTCTTTATCATAGTCTTAAACCAAGACATTTGTTTTTCCTTCTGCCTGTGCACATTTATTTTGCAACTTACTTTCATCTCTTCAGTCTTTGTCAGTCTCTAGTCCCTCATTTTCAAATTCATTAGCTGAAGGCATAGAACAATTAAGCTTTTATCCCTTAGTTACATAATTTCTTCAGAAAGATTCTTGGATTTTAAGAGTAAAAGTAACTGCTTCCACAGTACTGTAGTCACACAAAGTAGTAGAAGATTCAGCCTGCGGAACCTCATCATCTATATGTAAGGTGGTCTATAAAATACCGTACTAGTTATAAATTATTTTGTTACTTGCCTTACTGCACAAGGAGATGTGAATGGAATCAGCTATGTCTAGTATGTCCTGCTCCACCACCTTCTGCCTCAAGGCACTTTTGAGATTAACCCAGCTGTGGCAGTGATACACTGAATCAACTTTGGTCAAGGTTTTCAAAAAGAGTTTCTGAAATTACAGACTTAATATTTTCAAATGGGAAAACTTTTAGGATACAACTGCTAAAAAAATTAGGTCACTCAGTTAATTTTCTGAATGAGAACATACACCGGGTTCTTCAGAAGAGTCTCAGATACTGGCTCAGCATCTAACTCGGGGTCTTCTGAGAAGCTAACCCTGTGATCCTACCTTTCAGCATCCATTTCTGATATTAGAGGGAGAATATTTTCATGTAACTTTTTGTTTTTTTTTCACATCAGAACACCTTCTTATCCCTGGCTTCCTAATTCAGATTTTTACAAACAAAGAAGCTATTCCTGAAGTTTCTCTATATACAGGAAATCCTTTTATCTATATCCCCCTACTGCAGTGGTCACTTAATAGTAAAAGTCAGAACATCAACTATAAGAAGTTTTCACGCAGCTGTAGAGCAGTAACCAGCGTATGCACTGAACTTGTCCAGCTTGTCTGCTTAATGTATCACATTCCTCCAGATGTATAACTTTTAAGATTAATAATTAAATATTCTTTCTGAAAGAGATGCAAACTTAAAAACAAAATCATCACACATCTGACACCGTAAATGAAATAGTTTAGCTACTAAAGTAGCTTTCTCTTTAAGCTGAGGAAGCAGTCATCTGCAGACTAATCACCCAGGCTGCATAACCTTCTTTATCAGCTCAGGAGATGTAAATGAGGATCCATGCTTACTGGTCTCTCTGAGACGTTGTTTCTGCTCATACCATCTAATGATACAAGGAATATGGGGGACAGGTTCTGCACCTGATGTTTTAAAACATCAACAATTTGAAACCAGTTTTTAATCTCCGGGGATATTATTCATTGCTTGTCTTCACAAGGCATAATATTATGATTCAATACAAATCAACTTTTCCCTCTTTTAGCTGATTTCTATTTAAATGAGTTCAATACAGTCCTTTAGCAAAAATGAAAATTGGATATCAAAGTACAATAAGATGCAGGTTGTTTTGCATAGTAATGGATTTTATATAAAAGCTACCTGAAGTAGGGATGCGCCATCTCAGAGCATTTCAGTATGCAAGTGATTCAAAGTAGTGCCTTGCAATTACATCTTCACTAATTATACCAACTTTTATCTAACTTGCATAAAGTACAAAACAAAATATAATGAATACATATTATGTATGGTTTTTCTGAAGGATATAGTCACACTCTGTACTAATGGTTTGCCTTAGACTTGAAAAAAAGCACTCTATTTTTCGGGGTAATCTATAACAGCTGAGGTATTGGTTCTTGTTTGTCAGCTTAGAAATGATTGTAAATAGAATGCAGAGGGTTTTTTCAGAGCTGGTTTTGGTTTTCTGTTTTGCTTTGCCTGTGGTTTTTTTGCTTGTTTGGGTTTTTTTACTTGTTAACCACAAAATATTTTTCTGTAGTGTTCTGCCCTGGGAAGACATTCATTAGAGCTACTTCTAAATGCTAGAGAAGGTTCAGAGAGGTACTCCACAATAGATCAGGAAATAGGGCAGGCACTTGGGAAGAGGAGGAATTCAGATCTAAGTACCTATTTTGCCTGCATCATGTTCAAGAACCTCAACTGCTAATTCCCACAAATGTCATTTAGATAGTCTTGATGGAACTCGCTTTATTTGTCCTGTTGGGCCTTTTTGGCTTCACATAAGTGATCTGAGCTATGTAAGGGACACAAACCTGAATATTCAGACACCCAGTCAGCTGTGGATTATGAGGAAGAATTTTCTTCACACATTTCACACAAAATACATAAAAAGTTTTCATCAGAGAATGGAGGAAAAAAAAAAAGATTGAGATTTTTAATGAAAAAAGGCTTCTATTTCCCAGCTAGCTCTCATCAAAATCAGCTCATTAGTACACAGCTCCTATACAGCGATATACAGTGATTTATAAGGAAATAACCCAAGAAATATCATAGACAGTGGTAAGAACTGAGATTGTTTCCTATATATACTGTGGTGAAAATACAAACTCATAAATCCCTTATAAGTGCTCAGCACAGCTTTGAAGTGCTGACAGGTGAGATCATTCAGCTAACAAAATGATCACTGTAATGATAGAAATAGATATTGATTAAATTAAAAAGTAGTGTTGGATTTTGCCATTCCCAAGGTTTGCCTCAAAACAAAATATTTCAAGCCAGAGTAAAGCTGACCTTGAGGTGCTGCTGGTACTATAGAGATACCACAGCTTCACACAACAGTTTGGTTTGGAAGGGGTCTCTGGAGTTGCAAAGTCCAACTCCTGTTCAAAGCAGGGCCAAACTCAAAGTCTGGTCCAAGTCCATGGAGCTCTGGAGTTCTGAATGCTTCCAAGGATGGAACAACCACTTTCTCTCTGGGCAACCTGCTATACTGTTTAGTTGCACCTCTTTTCCTTATATCAAACAGGAATTTCCCTTGCTGCAATTTGTGATTATTGCCCAGGCAATAATTTTTGATATAGACCATCTTATAATTCTTAATGTGGATAGCACAACATCCCAAGAGTCAACAACCTCTAACTTAATTCTGTCCAGTCATTTTTTTTAGTGGTATTTTGTTTCCAGAACACCTACTAAGATCTTTTTTTTCTTTTCTTTTTCTTTTTCTTTTTTTTCTAAATTTTCCTACTGCAAAATAGAAAACAATTCTTGAAATGATGTTGCATGCTCTGTGAATAATATCAATTTATCCTCCCAGTAGTTCTACCTGAAAGTTAATTTACCTTGCTTTAGGCTTCCATTATGTAACAAAATTTCTGGAAGACTTCTGTTCTCTCTGGTCTGTCTGTTTGACTAATAACTAGGCTCTAATTTAATTCATTTGACTACAAATTGCTTTCACCTACCTGCTTCAGCTTTTTGCTGCTTTTCAATCTTTTCCAGTCTCCCTAGCAAGGAGTCAATTTTTGTTTTGATTTGGGTTAATTCCTTCTTGATTGTTTGCAACTCGTCTGATTTCACTGTGGAAAGAGAGCAAAGATGCAAAACATGAAATAAACTATATTTGCAGTCCCTCCTGAACAAAACATGTTTCTTTTCTTTCCTCTGTAGTACACAAAATCTACTGTCTCATTTCTGTCAGTATTTTTATAATTTAACTTTTCAAATGAACATTGTTAGTTAAAAATGGTGAATCCTAGAAAATCACAGAGTTCTAAGCCCTAATGGCAAGAGGTTATGTGAGGTACATTGCTTTGTAATAAGCATTTCAGGCAAAATATCTCAAGGGCATTTTTAGTATTTCCAAGTAGCTGTTACTGAAAAACAGCCTATAATGAAAGAGTGATTCAAATATGACAGACAGTTCACAGTCTTGCAGTGCTATTTTGCTGGACTATTTTGTAATAACAGAAACAATAATAAAAAGTTCCCTCACAGTAGTAGTAGCTATTTTTCAACAAGTGTGAATGGTAACATAAATTCTAGGACAGCCAGGAATGCAATGTTATGTTCCAGTCAACAGCTTCATTGCAATAGGTTTTAAGTATTATTGCTTCAAAATCTTTCAGTTCTGGTAATTTCTTGTACTTTTTCCATCTATGGGTATTATATGAAAATATTTATTTTTATGATCACATCCAGCGACACGGAGGCATTGCCTATAAATGAAGTGCTGAAGTTTCCAAATCTGTGTTGCAGTGTTGCATTACTCTTAATTTATGTTCGTTATTGCACTCCCATTGTCTAACACAAGGAGTACCTGCCTTGTCGGTATTTTGGCTTCAGAAGAAACAGCACTGCAGACCTCATTATTATGACATTATCAAGATATATCTTTACGCTCAGAAGACAGTCCAAACAAATCCACTTGCCCTGTCTATGCTAAGATATGATGTTGAAAAGACCAAGAGGAGAAAATGAGAAACCTGTGTTAGCATGGGAGATTTAAGTAATTTATAAAGGTCAAAAGTAGATAACACAGCTATCACTCTCATAACTCTTTTAGGAAGAACTGGACCATCACCTTAAACTGTGAGGGACTGGCAATGGGCAGTATTACTCCTCCATCCTTACCACTTGCTGAAGGAGGATACGCATTGACTTGGTGTGTATACCCAGAGCCTGGGAAAAGGGATGTTCTGCCATAGAAGAGGACATATTCCTTTTCTGTCCAAAGGGTCTCCTGGCTGTATCTTGCCATATCAGTCCTGTTTATTAGTTCTTGGGCATGTGTCTTATCATGGTGTCTCGTGGGTATTTTTTATCGGATAGTCAAAATCTTAAGATGAAGTGTGCAGGCAAGTTACTGCTTGCTTCAGTGATAGTAAATGAATTTGTGTTTGCATCAAAATCAGCCTTACTGCAAACTTGGAGCACATGCACTGAGGTTGAAACCAAGATGTTTTATCTTAGAGTTTCGGCTGTGTGCATCATAATTATAACAAGTCAGCTAAAAGCAGTAAGTTGCTACATGTGATAATGAACTTGCTTAATTATGTGCTTATATTGATAAATTGCATATTTCACACTGTCATAGTCTGAAACCTCTGGTATCATATTAAATGAATGGTAGGACTTAAAGAACAAATCTTAAAAGTAACTTTAGTCCTGGTCCTTTATACGCTATACAGTATTTGATGTAATTATTCTGTATATATATAGAGCAGGACCTTAAAGTGTTCTTAGAGAAATAACGGGTCACTGTCCAATCCCCCAGATCTGTAACAAAATGTTAAGATTCTGACAACTGTATATTTAGAAGGTTACTTCTTCCCCAGGGGCACTGGCTGGTCCATGCTGGAGTAGCAAGGCAGTGCAGATTCCAGGGTGAAATAGCATGAATCTGTCCAGTGGGGAATGGTAAATGTTTGCCACAATCTACTATGAAGCCAGATGGCAACACCTTCTGTGTGGCCAAGCTGTTAGGTTAGAGGTGTTCCCTTGAAAGGCAAATAGCAGGCTTGTCAAGGCTAAAAGATCAAAAGTCAGAAGTGACAACACAAGGACCTAATGGTATTTGTTCTCAGTCTAGAAAGCAAAACAGAAAACATTTGCACTTTCAAGTTTGATAGGGAAAAAGGTACATATGTAGGATTACTGTTCAACTGAGTTCAAACCTGTTTCACAAGGGTTTCCCCGTGGTGTCTCAGTGAGGAATCAGTTTAGAAAGAAGACTGTACCAGGGGGGAACATAATAAGCACAACAGTGAGGATTCAACAACAACCAGAGATGCTATAAATGACTGAAGAGCCTTATTGCTACCTTGCAAAATTCCCCTATGCCAAAATTTTTTTCTCAAGCTGTGGCAACTGAATGTGTAACTTGTCATTCACATTTAATGAGGTGATTCCATCATACAGTCAATCACTTCAAGTTAATACTAAAAAGGACTGAAACAAAAAGGGGAAAAAATTTCAACAACTCTGCAGAAGTTAAATACTTTTACCCTGTTTCCAATATTGTGATGTAATTTTTTGAGTTGCTTATTGTCTTAATTTGCAGGAATTGTACAAATCTTCAAAATCATTCTCCTAGAGAAATTCCACTCTCTGTTATATTCTACTGGGTATTTTCTGTAGTAATCAGCAATTACTAACGACAAATTACTGATGACAAATTTGTCCCGGTGGAAAAAATACACCCTTGTGACAAGGAAAGCTGTCAGCATCCTAGGCTGCATTAGGAGGACTGTTGCCAGCAGGTTGTCAAGTTTTAACCCTAGGTGGCAACTAAGCAACACACAGTTGCTTGCTTACTCTGTAAACTCACCCTCCCCCCAGCAGGATGGGGAGAAGAGAATTGGAAGGCGAAAAGTGAGAAAACTTGAGTATTGACATAAGAAGAGTTTAAGAGTTGAAATATACTACTGCTGCTGCTACTACTACTACTAATTATAATAATGTAATGAAAAGGAAAATAACAAAAAGAGAGAAATAAACCCCAAGAAAAACAAGTGATGCCAGTGAAAAATGTTGCTCATCATCAATTGATCAATGCCCAGTCAGTCCCCGAGCAGCAGCCCCCAGCCAACCTCCCCCCTATTTTATTGCTGAGCAAGATGTTATATTGGATGGGATGTCTCTGGTCAACTGGGGTCAGCTGTTCCAGCTGTGCCCCTTCCCAACATTTTGTGCACCCCCAGCCTGCTCACTGGCAGGGTGCTGTGAGGAGTAGAGGAATGACTTGACTCTGTGTAAGCACTGCTCAGCAATGACTAAAATATCCATGAGTTATCAACACTTTTTTCCATCACGAATCCAAAACTTATCCCCATACTAGCTACTATGAAGAAAATTAACTCTACCCGAGCCAAAACCAGCACACCCCTCAACACAGCACTTGTGAAGCGACATCTGGAGCATTGTGTCCAGTTCTGGGCTCCCTGATACAAGAGGGAATGAAAACAAAGCCAGCCTCTTCTCAATAGTGCCCACTAACACATGAAAGGTAATTGGCACAAATTAAAGCATATGAAAGTCCATCTAAACACAAGAAAAAGCTGGGTTGGGGGGGGGTGGGGGGTGGTGGA